GCTGTTCAGTGGGATCCGTCTCATTCAAAATGATACATACAATCCGATCATCGAATGACAAATAATCAGAGTTCTCTGTGTCGTCACAAATGTAGTGTTAATGTAGTTTAGTTTATGCAGCATACAGGATGGCAGACACATCGAACAAGTGGCTGGGGTTGGGCGTCAGTGTTTGAGTTGCCGTTGTCCCCTCATGCGGATTCACGTGGTGGTTTGGCGGCAGTGAGCTCACTGAGCGTTTCAGGAAAGACCTCGGCCTCCTCCCCCCTCTCCCCGCCGAGAGGACTGCTTTTGAGTGGGATCCGCCTCCTCCGCCTCCCTCTTCGTCTTTCTCCTGACGAGAATCTCCCGTGTCTGGAATAAGTTGGCTGCGTGGTTCTAGGGGCTTGAGCAAATTACCAGGTGAAGGCGAGTTCGGGGGCCTATTGCTGCTATTATGGTGTGCACGTTGGAGCTTGAGGGTGCCCCTGAGTCCCCTATTGTCTAGTTTTTGTTGGGCCGTACCTCGACCAAGTTGATAAAAAGGTGTTGTTCCTTGTTCTCCTCTGGCATGCAGTGCAGTTTTTTCCCAACCCTCCTTGGTTGGGTATTCGTTTTGAATGAATAGAGCAGTGTGGTCGCGTCCTTCCTCCTCCCGCCTCCCGCCTCTTTCCTGCCTCTTTCTGTCTTGCCTGCGGGGGGCTGCGATCTGTGAAACTGTCGCCACTTTCGAGGCCTGCTGGGGGGTCCTGCATAGAGGGTAATCGCGGCGGATTCAAATTAGACCTCGCCATCCCTGGGGGGCTGCGATCTGTGAAACTGTCGCCACTTTCGAGGCCTGCTGGGGGGTCCTGCATAGTGAGGGCCACGCGCGGATTCAAATTAGACCTCGCCATCCCTGGGGGGCTGCGATCTGTGAAACTGTCGCCACTTTCGAGGCCTGCTGGGGGGCCCAGCACAGTGGGCCACGCGGCGGATTCAAATTAGACCTCGCCATCCCTGGGGGGCTGCGATCTGTGAAACTGTCGCCACTTTCGAGGCCTGCTGGGGGGTCCTGCATAGAGGGTAATCGCGGCGGTTCAAATTAGACCTCGCCATCCCTGGGGGGCTGCGATCTGTGAAACTGTCGCCACTTTCGAGGCCTGCTGGGGGGTCCTGCATAGAGGGTAATCGCGGCGGATTCAAATTAGACCTCGCCATCCCTGGGGGGCGTCTGCGATCTGTGTGAAACTGTCGCCACTTTCGAGGCCTGCTGGGGGGTCCCAGCATAGAGGGTAATCGCGGCGGACTCAAATTAGACCTCGCCATCCCTGGGGGGCTGCGATCTGTGAAACTGTCGCCACTTTAGAGGCCTGCTGGGGGGCCCAGCACAGTGGGTAATCGCGGCAGATTCAAATTAGACCTCGCCATCCCTGGGGGGCTGCGATCTGCGAAACTGTCGCCATTTTCGAGGCCTGCTGGGGGGCCCAGCACAGTGAGGGCCACGGGCGGATTCAAATTAGACCTCGCCATCCCTGGGGGGGCTGCGATCTGTGAAACTGTCGCCATTTTCGAGGCCTGCTGGGGGGCCCAGCACAGTGAGGGCCACGCGCGGATTCAAATTAGACCTCGCCATCCCTGGGGGGCTGCGATCTGTGAAACTGTCGCCATTTTCGAGGCCTGCTGGGGGGCCCAGCACAGTGAGGGCCACGGGCAGATTCAAATTAGACCTCGCCATCCCTGGGGGGCTGCGATCTGTGAAACTGTCGCCATTTTCGAGGCCTGCTGGGGGGCCCAGCACAGTGAGGGCCACGGGCGGACCCAAATTAGACCTCGCCATCCCTGGGGGGCTGCGATCTGCGAAACTGTCGCCATTTTCGAGGCCTGCTGGGGGGCCCAGCACAGTGAGGGCCACGCGCGGATTCAAATTAGACCTCGCCATCCCTGGGGGGCTGCGATCTGCGAAACTGTCGCCATTTTCGAGGCCTGCTGGGGGGCCCAGCACAGTGAGGGCCACGCGCAGATTCAAATTAGACCTCGCCATCCCTGGGGGGCTGCGATCTGCGAAACTGTCGCCATTTTCGAGGCCTGCTGGGGGGCCCAGCACAGTGAGGGCCACGCGCGGATTCAAATTAGACCTCGCCATCCCTGGGGGGCTGCGATCTGCGAAACTGTGCCATTTTCGAGGCCTGCTGGGGGGCCCAGCACAGTGAGGGCCACGCGCGATTCAAATTAGACCTCGCCATCCCTGGGGGGCTGCGATCTGCGAAACTGTCGCCATTTTCGAGGCCTGCTGTTGATCCCCGTTTTCGAAGTGGCTAGGAGTGCTTAGGAATTGTAAATCATCAGCTTTATCAAGCCCTTTTCCTGTAGCCAGTGTCCTGCGAGTCTCCCGAATTCCGTCTGCAGACATATGTAACCCTCGCTCCGTCATCGCCCCCTTATAAAGTATCCTAAACTATTTGCGCCCCGCTTTTGCGCAGGGGTTGGGTACGTCGCCAGGGTAATTTTTTGTCGCTCGTGAGCTCTGGCAGCGTGCTTCTGAATACTTTTGTGGAGCACGACTGAAAGATGGATTTGACTTCACTGTCGTCAACCGCATGCACACCGCATTCCTGAAGGAAGGAGAAAGCAAAGGTGTTGCTTTCCTTTGCAATTTGGGTAGTGGCCTGCTGTGGCCCGAGATGCGTGTGAAAACCAGGCTACGAAAGCTCTGGCATGTGTGCGAGGTGTAGAGCTTTCCCAGCACCCCTTTTCCGTAGGTTTCAGACGTGTGCGGACATTGAAGATTCGGCCATAAGGTTTTCCGAGGTTTATTGCGAAGGCCTTACCACCAGTGCCGCCAACCCTGAAGACGACGACGATGAAAACGAGCGGGGGGAGGTAGGAGGCGGAGGAGGAGGAGGAGTGGGAGGGGAAGAGGAAGGGTGGAGGAGGAGGATGAGGGAGGAGGAGGGGGGAAGGATTGGAGGAGGCCAGAGGAGGAGCAAGGGGGAGGGGAGGAGGGGAGGGAGGAGGAGGAGGGAGGAGGAGGAGGAGGAGGGAGGAGGAGGAGGAGGAGGAGGAGGAGGAGGAGGAGGAGGAGGAGCAGGAGTGGGGGAGCAGCGAGAGGAAAGCGGAGGAGGAGGAGGAGGAGGAGGAGGAGGAGGAGGAGGAGAATGCGTGGGGGAGCAGCGAGAGGAAGCGAGTAGGAGCAAGCAATTCTGGAGGCCTCGGCCCTCGACGGAAATGGGAGGGAAAGGGCGGGGACAAAACGTTTCCAAAAATCCATGAATATGGTCTCTCCGGACCTTCTTGAGAGTCCTTTTGGAGCTTTTTTGGCCCGTCTGGGGGCCCCCTATGGCCGTCCTTAGGCGTTCTTGGGCTGTCTGGAGGGGCTTAGGCCGTCTAGGGGCGCTCTTGTGGATCCGTCGTGGCGACCCCCCGTCGCCCAGGGCATCTACAGAGGGCCCCTCTGTAAAAGCCGCAAACGGGGGATTGCATTCTGACCCGGGACCCCCCCCAGGACCCTCCCCCCCCGTGGGGAAGGGATCAAAGGGAAGGGGCTTCCTTTCGACTCAATGACAACGTTGGTAATTTCGCTTCAGCTGGGTTACTTCATTTCGCTTTGGTTGGCGCGCTTGAGAACGAAAGACCAGGGGAAGAGGGGGGAGCAGCGACGGACCCAGAAAAGAAGACGACAAGTACGTACGAGGACAACCACGACGAACAACCCATTCCTCACGCCGACAGGGTCGGCGGATTTGGGACATACGTGATGCTGTAGAATGGGCTCAAAGGCCGAATGCTTGTGGATCAGGGGCCTTCTGCCCAGAGGGTTGACTATCCTGGGGTTGGTTTGGGGCTATAGACCGAGTGGTACCAAAATGATGGGAGTCTTCGGCTTGGACGGGACGGGAGAAGAGCACGCACGTGACTGGAGATTGAGACGTTGTTGGTGGGCAGTGATCCACATGCATCCGGACTCCTTGGAGATTGGAGGGCTGCTCGGCTGTACTCTCCTAACTGTCGGGCTTGGTTTGCAGAGCTCCCCTCGTGCTGAATAGTTCACTACTGTGCAGCTTCTACAGAAAACGACGGGCAATCGGCGTGTCTATACCGAAGTCTTCTCTATTGTGCGAGCTGTTCGACGTGCTGGAGCGACGGCAGGCTCGTCCAACATGGTTGATCTCTGGCATGAGGCTTGGGGCCGAGCCGCGTCTACGTGGGTCATGAAAAATTCAGGCCACCGAGATCAAGGGCCGCGAGTTGAAGTTGACTCCGCATGGGCTTGTTGCGAATGTTGTTTCTGATATCTTCGTTGGGGTGGCTGCCGAATGGGAGGCTTTAGATCCCGAGTGAGTGAAAATTGTTGAAGGGACCAGATGCTGTTGCAGCCTTGCGCTGAAGCGGCGCCTAGCCTCCTGGCGATCAGTCGTCATGTGTCTACGACTTGTGATCAAACAAAGGTTAACGTGTCCAGTGCCAGCCAAAAACCTGAGCGTCTCAGGGCGCTGCCGTCCAGGCATTGTGCATTGCATGGTGTGGGCAAGGCGAGGGCAAGGGCATCTCGCAAATGCAAGGGTTGCGCGCCTAGCGTTGTATCCGCTGTGCCTGACGGTGGTCTAGCTGAGTTTCGCGAAGTTGCTGCCTCACCTGCTGGTCCCACCCCTGCACGTCATGATCCTGCTCGGGTCGATCCGTTGGATGGCGATCGCGACCCATCGGCTGCACCAGGTGATCGTGACCGTCCTGCCCCTGAGTGCAAGGCTTTCGCGGGGGGCCCGCTGGCCGCTGTCCTGAATATCGGGAGCCTGAAACTGCTGACGTCTTTGCCGCAGCGCTCCTGGACCAGGGCAACGACAAGGGCAATTCTGAAGCAGAAACGGTTCGCCGCGCTCGTCTTAAATAGCCCGCTCAGCTGCGCATGGTGTTGTATGGTTTGCTAGTGCATCAACTTTTGTTTCGCACCTGGGTCCCTTGATCCAGGCCAGTTTATGCCCCATCCTCCTCCTCTTTCTCCTGATCCTCATCCTCATCCTCGTCTTTCTCGCCACCGAGAGGTCGAGTACTTCGACGACAACGACTGGAGCCGCTTCCCAGCGGTCGGGGCGGCTCTGAGGGATTTGGCCAGCGCCGAGGACCCGCGCCTTCGCCCCCACCCCCCCGTGGGACTCAGTTAGGGCCGGGAACGCGAACTCGTGCCCCCTCCGCCTCCCAGGGTCCACTTCGATCCGATCGATCCAGTTCGTCATTGATCGGATTCGATTCCGATGTTCCAGCGACCCGATGTTCGCCCAACGCAGTTGCGCATCATGGCGCAGCGGATCCGACTCGACTTCGATCCCGTGCCGGTGCAGCCCGATCTGACGCCCGTTCCGATCCAATCCAGTTTCCAGACTCGATGATGACCGTCCTGCCCTCTCCACCTCCAGGAGGTAGGGCAGTGCCAAGGGTGGTCACCAGTCTGCTCCTGGAAATGGAGGGTCGAGGAAGACCGAGGAGGTTATGCACATCGTTGTGGCGTTTGGGGAAGTCCTGCGGCGGTCCTGAGGGGATCTGCACGGGCTTCGTTTCTTGCTCTGCACTTCCTCGCCTCCATGCCATCCAATGTCATGACAAGACCAAGACGCCCGTTTGTTTTGAGCTATCGGCTTCTGAGAGCCCTTACCGAGCCTGGAGGCGTTCAAGAGTTGGCTCGGAATGAAAGCCGGGCCTGGCGAAAGGGTCGGGCTGCGAGGGGCCCCGCATGGAAATAACAAAACATCGGATGCATGGGCTCCCTCCACCTTCCTCGTCTCGGCTCTACAGTACGGGTCACATTTGGCGCTCGCTTCGACCGGGTCGTTTTCGCTGGGGTCGCTTTCGCCCGGGTCGTTCTGGCTGGACGTCGTTTTCGCCGCGGTCGTTTTCGCTGGGGTTGCGTTCGCCAACGGTGTCACCTCCACATCTGGCGCTTGGAAAAAAAACATGCAGTCTTCTTCAGTATAAAGTGTTCGTGGCTTCGGGTTGCCCCCATCGGCTGCGCCTCGTCCCGGGCGAGTCAAAAAATTGCTGGGGATGAACCGGGTGAGGGGTGTGCCGAAGTGGGTGGCGCGGACGCATGGGAAAGTCGCCACTGGGGCCTCAGGTGAAGGGCCACGAACGGTGTGAGGGGTGTGCCGAAATGGGTGGCGCTGACGCACGGGAACGTCGCCCCTGGGGCCTCCGGTGGAGCTACCTATGGGGCCACGAACCGTGTCAAAATGGGTGTCGCGGATGCATGGGCACGTCACTAGTGGGGTTTTAGGTCGAGCTCCCTATGGTGCCACGAACCGTGTGAGGGATGTCCCGAAATGGGTGGCGCGGACGCGAGGGGTGTGCCGACAGCGCCCGAAGGGGCGTCGACGCCAGCCGGGCTAGGACGGAGCGCTCCTTCGCGCCGCCCCCCCCCCAGGGCACGCTGGAAGTTGGGGCCGACCTCCAGTCCCCGGCCCCGCGGCGGCGGCCGTTGCGGCCCCTGGAGCCCGAGCAACCTTGAAAACGCTCGCAGGAGCTTGGATCACCCAGTCGCTTGTCCAGCAGGATCAGGCCAGTTTGTTTAGGTGTGCGAGCGGAACCGGTTCCCAGTCACAGTGTGTAGTTTTTTCTTAGGTGTTGGGTGGGGCCCCCAAACGGGGTGGTGACCACACCCTGCGGTGAGTCGGTAGGGATTCGGGGTCACCGCACGGTTTTGGGACTCGGGTCGTTCTCCGAGGGCGACTTGGGCATCCGAGGTCCCAAGACCGTGCGGTGACGGACCGTGCGATGAGGTCGAGTCTTGGGGGTAACGAGGTCACCGCACGGTCTGTCACCGCACCGTTCCGGGACTCCAAATCAAATTGCCACCCGTTCTCCGAATGTTTTTTTTTTGTTCTCTCTCTCTCTCTCTCTTTCTCTTTCTCTTTCTCTTTCTCTCTCTCTCTCTCTCTCCCTACGCCTCACCGATCCGCCTGACCAATGTTTAGGAATCACCGTAGTTGCATACTTTGTTTTCCTCAGCAACTGTTGTTTCTCCTACATCCCGGGACCAGAGGGTCGAGTTTGATCGTACTTTTGTATATATTCCCCCTGCCCCCTCAGAGGACCTTGCCGATCATGACCGCCAGTTTCGCCTCTCGCCCAGCCCTGCCGCCGAGGAGTGTTTCCACGTGGCGTCGTGCAAGTCCCTGGGCGTGTGGGCCGTCGGCGTCGGGATGAAACTGCACCACCGGGCGCGCGCCGCCAGGGTGGCGCTGGCGGCATCCCTGGCGATCCGCATGGAGGACCCCTGTGGCGGATCGAGGGTGTGATGTTCTTGGGTCGTCGTCCCACCTGGGCCGACACCTCCGTCTCACCTGGCCTGGGCCGCCACCGTCGTAGGTCACCCGCGGTAGCGCGAAGATTAGTCACGCTCTGCACGTCGCGGCCTGAGCTGGAGAGTGCCCCTTCTCCAGGGGGCGGCGCGAGAGCGCGAAGATGATCGCGCATCGCGCACCGCGGGGCGCGCCGCGCGAAGTTTGGTGTGACTTCTGGTGGCCTGGAGGTCGACGATCGAAGGCAGAGCTTCTGTGCGCTCTTGGCCTCTTTTGGGCCTGTGTGGATTTCCGCTGCTGGGTGTGGCCCCCGACTCCACTCAGGGGCCCGCTTCCAGCTATCGCGTGTACCGAGCCACGACCGATGTATCAGTGTTGTCATGGATCGATCGTTCAGATATCGATCTCTCGCGACATTATCGCCCTGAAGCTTCACCAGCCAATTCACTTCGTCTTGGTGCGGACTTCCTATCGTGGTAATCTGCTTTCGAAAATGGACGGGAATCGATGTTCCCTGATGGCAACAAAAACGCCCCAACGACATCACAGGGCATGCCCATGGTTGTCGTTCTGAGGCGTCGGGGACCTCGACCACCTTGTGCCCCTGCTTTCCTCTTCTTCGCCCTCCAGTCTTCGTCTTCCCGTCCTCCTCTCGTCGTCCTCCTCTTCTCCCCTCTTCTCCTAGTCCTTATCGTTTTCCTCTTCGTCTCTCCTCGTTCTTCGCTCCTCCTCTCCTCTTCTTTTCCTCGGCGTCCATCTCTCGTCCTCCTCACATCCTCTTCCTCCTCTCCTCCGGTCCTCATTCTTCTCCTCTCGCTCCATGTCTTTCCCCCCCGACGTTTTGCCTGCCTTCCCCCCTCTTGTGTCATCGACCGTATCCCCCATCTCATCCCTCCTCTTCAGAGACGGAAAAGACCTTGCGACATCATTGTCAGGGGGTGGGAAAAATATTCGACTTCTGATCGGGTTCATTACCGTCGTCGCAATTGTCACCCGTAAACTACATCATCGCCGTTTTTGTCGGTCAGGGCAGGATCGGATATCGCATCTCCGTGGTAACGGCGTCTGCTGATTTGGTGGCGGTTTGGGGGAACATGTGGCAACGGGGGTCGCCTTGGCCAGCTGCCATGGCAGACGAGGAAAGCAAACACATCATCAAACAAAGTATCGCGATCCGAGCTCGATTCAGGGTTGAGTCGAAGATGGTCGTGGCGCCGTTTCTGATAGTGCCTCATCCTCAGAACCGCGGCGGCGATCCACTGAAATCGTTGCGTACGCAGCAAATTATAGATGGCATCATGAAGGATGGGTACGACCCCATAGATGCAAACAGCAACGGTGTGCTCGTGGAAGAAAAACCCGCGGTGGCGAGGGGAAGCAACAGAGCCATTCAAGACTCCTTTGCGAAGAAGATCCAGGTAGATCCTGACATGGCTCTGCATAACACAACATTTTGGGCAACAGGAAAGGATGCGAGTGGGCAGGAACCCGCGGTGGCGGGGTCGAGCGCGTCAAGTGCGAGTGCAAGGTTTCCTCATTTTTGGACGATCCGGGAAATTACGATTTGGAGAAAGTGCGAGTTCTCGATGATGATTGGGGTCGACAGTGCGAAGGCGGCCTGGAGTGGGAGGTTCTGTCTCGGAAGGTTGACGAGGAGGAGCCCGGGGCAGCTCTACGCATCAGCATCGCACTCAACAAACAGAACGAAACTGTTATGACAACGGGCCACATTGAGATCATGTCGACCCTGGTGGGCTTGTGCAAGCCAAATCCAAAGAGGTGTGTGCCTTTCGAGCCAGTGAGGGACAAGCTCATCGATTTGCACAGGGCGGAGATCGACCATCTTGATTTCCTGCACCTTTTCAAAGTGGCATGTGATGCAGGGGCGGGGGGGAAGCAGCGTTCATTTGAAAGACTCGTTCTCTTTCACCGGTGTGTTCGTGAACCCGAAGGTACGCAAAATGCGCATGGAGGCATATGGCGCGATTGCGCCTGACCCTGTGGAGTTCCCCGAAATCAAGAACGCCTGCCTGAAGTGGGCTTGGAAGCAGCCCACCGCCGGAGGGCGCCGCCAGCCCCCCCCCCCCCCAACAAAAAAAAATGCGCGCAGATACAATAAGGAATCGAAACACCAGATGCATGATTTCTTGAAGGATGTATAGGGCGCATTCCTGCAGCTTGGAAAAATGGCACCCACGGTAGTGGAGGGGCCGACATCCGAGAAATTGCGGTGCAAGTGGACTGCGGGGGCGGAGGTCAGTGTCATGGCAAAAATCCGCAGAGCTGCGCATGCTACCGCAGGCCCCCCCCCCCCCCCCCCCCCCCCCCCCCCCCCCCCCGCGCGCGCAATCGCCCCCCCCCGCCCGCTCGGCAGCGTCGTCCTTTCCCTTGCTTCCCCTCACTTGTGCTCCTCACCTCATCGTTCGCCTCCTCGACCTCTCCTCAAAAGTGGCCCTCTCCCTCACCCCCCTCGCCCCCCCTCGTCGTTCTCTCCCCCTGCTCGCGCGCGCCCCCCCCCCCCCCCCCCATTTCCGTCGCACGCAGTTCCAGGCACCTCCGCCCCCAGAGCGGGGCTGTCTGATTTTGGCAGCCCCCCAAAATCCCACCGACGGCAAGTCTGTCGAAGGGGCAGCGGGGCGCTCTCGCAAGAGATTGCAGTTCACTCATCGCGACCAAGCTAGAGGAGTTGATGTCATTGGGAAAGGATGGGTTGAAAGGGGGGCACGCCCCAGCTGTCGCGGGAGACAGACCCCACGCAGCGAGTCGGAAGATTTTGGGGCGACCCGACATTTCAGGGGCGTTCGTTTTCCCTTGGGTCGAAGGGCAAGCGCTCCGCGGCCGCGGAGAGTCCGACGCCCAAGGTGATCGAGCAGGACGCAGACGGGAGGCCATTGACCGAACACGAGACAGCGTCTGCCGCAGGATCAACACCCCAAGCAGTCGACACCATTCCATGGCGCGCCTGGGCGGACATTGCCTGCGCGGTGGACAACGCGCAGATTGCCGAGCAGGTATTGGGGTTAGCCATGACGGCAAACCATGACCACGTCACATGCGACATCCCTATCGCGATGGTCAGGAATGGCTCTGCGATCAAGGCCGTGGCCGCGAAGGACACTCCCATTGGGCACCTGAGAGTGCTGCTGCGGTCCAAGGAGGACACGTCCACGGTCATGGAGGGGCCGGGCGCGGCCACCCACCCGGAAGCTGCGTGCGCTGAGATGTCGCGGGTCATGGCCGCCACCCCCGAAGAGAAAGAAGTTGGCGTCGACAGCGGGGAACGGGTGGTCGCGAGGGCCCACGTGCAGCCTGAGCTCAAACTCCCAAAGGACGGCGACGCAGGGTTCGCATGGGACCCGAGGCGCTCAGCCCACCCTTTCTGGTTCACGAAACGGACGGTCCAGGTGATGCGAACGCCAGGTGAAGCGCAGATCGCGGCGAACGCCTCCATGGTGATGGAGGCGGTGACACACGCTTGCGCGAGTGATTCTGTTCATCTGTTCATCTGAAGGCTGGCAATCCCAAGGTGGATCCCATGGTGGCCACGCATTCAGTGAAGCTGCCATGCATCGTCAGCGCGACCCCAGTCAAGGCGGGCGGGGAGGCCATCGCAAAGTGGGAAAGCGTTCCAACGGCGAAGAAACAAAAAGCCCCGACGCAGCAAACTGCCTTCGACCAGATCGCCGGGGCCCAGAAGAAGGCGCGGAAGGGGAAAAAGTGAGTGGGTCGGGCCTTGGTTCGCGGTGGCGGGGCGATTCGCCAGCTTGGAGTGTTCCGAGGCAGAGAGCGCCGCGCGCAAACACAGTTTGCCGGGTCGATCCGATCATTCCTCCTGCCCCCCCCTGCACGTGCATCTCCTAGTGGGCGAGCGTTTGCTTTCCCCTTTCTCCTCGTCCGTCTTCTTCCTCCGCGCCGCCTTCCCTCTCCTGCGCCCTTGCCTTCCCACTTCGGCCGCGCTCCTGCCTTTTTTCCGCCCCCCTCTTCTTGCCTTCTCCGCTCTGCCTTCCGCGTCACGTTTCCTCCGCCCCCCCCCTTGCCCGCTCCCCGGCGCCCCTCCGCCCCCCCCCCCCCCCCCCCCCCTCCCGCAGCCGCGCAGGCCCGGGCCCCATCTGCCCCATCTTCGCGGTGACGGAGCGGGGGGGGGGGGGCATGGCGAGCGAAGCTCCTCTTTTCGAAGCGCCCGAAACTTACATGCGCTTCTCCGAGTGCGTCTCTGCAGAGCAGCTCGCTTCGCAGCCAGAGGGCGCAGCCGCCGCGGCCAGAGGGCGCAGCTAGCGGCGCGCCCCGCCTGAAGGCGCAACTCGCGGCGCGAGCTGAGTCGGATCCGCCGGCCGAGCCAGCGCAGCCGAGGGCGCAGCTCGCGGCGCGCCCCGCGGCAGCGGGGCAGAAGGACAAGGGCGATAATGACAAGAAAGACAAGGAGAGGGAGAGATCCGCGGTTTCGGAGAAGGACAAGAATAATATGGACGGCAAGAAAGACAATAAGGACAGGAAAGACGAGGAGAAGGGTAAATCCGCGGCAGCGGAGAAGGACAGGAAGGACAGGAAGGACAAGGAGAAAGAGCAGGCGCCGAAGGAGGCGCAGACGCAGGCGCTGAAGGAGGCGCCGAAGGAGGCGCCGAAGGAGCGCCCGCCGAAGCACGCGCCCAAGGAGGCGCAGAAGCAGGCGCAGAAGCTAGCGGAAAAGACGAGGCGCCCGCCGAAGCAGGCGGCGAAGGCGGAACCGCGCGAGCGGCATGGGGGCGACGAGGGGGCGGAAGAGGCGGGAGCAGGCGCCGAAGGAGCCGCCGAAGGATTGCCCGCCGAAGCACGCGCCCAAGGGGGCCAAGGAGAAATCCGCGGTTGCGGAGAAGCTGACCAGACCCGCGTTTCGCCAGAGAGACTACGGGCTCGATGCGGACTCGTACTCGCGCACCTACTCGGACGCGGACGAAGGCGATGGCAGTCAACGCAAGCGCGCCGCAGCCGCGGCAGCAGCCAGCGGCG